ATTGCAAATTCCTGCCCAGTGGAGGAGGAAAAGGAGTAGGAGAAGGAGAAGGAAGAAGAAGAGGAGGAGGAGGAGGAGGAGGAGGAGGAGGAGGAGGAGGAGGAGGAGGAGACAATCAGTCAATTTTATTAGGTTGAAAGAATAAATCAAAGCTAGAAAAATTGTGAATTCCTGCCCAGTGGAGGAGGAAAAGGAGGAGGAGGAGGAGGAAGAGAAGGAGGAGGAAGAGGAGGAGGAAAGAATCAGTAAATCTTATTTTGTTTGAAAGAATAAAATCCAAGCAAGAAAAACTGTGATTTGATGCCTGGAGAAGGAGCAGGAGGAAAGAATCAGTCAATTGTATTTTGTTAAAAGAATAAAATCCAAGCTAGGAAAATTGTTAATTGCTGCCCAGAGCAGGAGGAGAAGGAGGAGAAAGAGGAGGAAACAATCAGTCAATCTTATCATGTTGAAAGAATTATATCTAAGCTAGAAATATTGTGAATTGCTGGCTGGAGGAAAAGGAGGAGGAGGAGAAGGAGGAGGAGGAGGAGGAGGAAACAATCAGTAAATCTTATTATGTTTAAAGCATAAATGCAAGATAAAAAATTGTGAATTGCTGTGAGGAGGAGGAGGAGGAGGAACCAGGTCAGTCAATGTTATATGTTTAAAGAATAAAATCCAGGCTACAAAACTTGTGAATTGCTAGAAGGAGGAGGAAGAGAAGGAAACAATCTTGAGAAGTGTAGCACATCTGCTGGGGGCTCCTGTCCAGCAAGAGGGTCCCAACCTGGATAGGGGGTGTGTGGAAGATAAAGATGACAGACAGAAAGAGTCTGCAGGGTTTAGACGCTATGCTTCGCCAACAACTTATTGCACTCAGGATCTGCTTGTACATGTTACAAGTAGAGTTGTTTACATAAAACACAAAAGGTATTTCCATGAGATAAAGGGTAACAAAAAGTTTTACCATAAACTCACATGTCTCCTTACATTAGATAAATATAAGGGAATACTTAAGTCAGAAGGGAAGTAAGTTATGCCCAGTTTTAAATACTTACAATTGTAAATACTTAAGTCACAAGGTAAGTAAGTTATGCCCAGTAAATACTTGACAATTGTAAATACTTAAGTCACAAGGAAAGTAAGGTTACATCCAGTAAATACTTAACAATTGTAAATACTTCAGTTAAGTCACAAGGTAAGTAACTTATGACCAGTTGTAAATACTTAAAAATAAAATACAAGCTAGAGAAATTGTGAATTGCTGCTTGGAGGAGGAGGAGGAGGAGGAGGAGGAGGAGGAGGAGGAGGAGGAGGAGAGGAGGAGGAAGAAGAAAGAATTAGTTAATCTTATGTCGAAAGAGTAAAATTCAAGCTAGAAAAATGTTAAATTGCTGCCTGGTGAAGGAGGAAAAGGAGCAGGAGGAGGAGGAAACAGTCAGTAAATCTTATTATGTTGAAAGATTAAAATGGAAGCTAGAAAAATTGTGAATTACTACCCGGAGAAAGAGGAGGAAGAGGAGGAGGAGAAAACAATCAGTCAATCTTATTATATTGAAAGAATAAAATCGAAGGTATAAAAATTGTGAATTGCTGCCCAGAGGATGAGATCAGTCAATCTTATTATGTTGAAAAAATAAAATCCAAGCTAGAAAAATTGTGAATTGCTGGGTGGTGGAAGAGGTGGATGAGAAAAAGGAGGAGGAGGAGGAGGAGGAGGAGGAGGAGGCAGAAACAATTGGTCAATCTTATTATGTTGAAAGATTAAAATACAAGCTAGTAAAACTGTGAATTGCTGCTCGTAGGCGTAGGAGGAGGAGAGGGAGGTGGAGGAGGAGGAGGAAAAAAATTCATCAATTTTATTATGTTGAAAGAATAAAATCCAAGCAACAAAAATTGTGAATTGCTGCCCAGAGGCGAAGGAGGAGGAGAAGGAGAAGGAGGAGAAGAAGGAGGAAGAGGAGGAGGAGGAAGAAGAGGAGGAGGAGGAGGAGGAGGAGGAGGAGGAGGAGGAAGAGGAGAATGAGGAGGAGGTGAAAACAGTCAATCTGATTATGTTGAAAGAATAAAATCCAAGCTGGAAAAATTGTGAATTGCTGAATTGTGAAGCAGAAGAGGAGGAGTAGGAGTAGGGGAAGGAGGAAACAATCAGTCAATTTTATTATTTTGAAAGAAAACAATCCAACCTTTAAAAATTGTGAATTGCTGCCCAGAGGCGGAGGAGGAGGAGGAAGAGGAGAAGGAGCTGGAGGAGGAGGAGGAGGAAGAGGAGGAGGAGGAGGAGGAGGAGGAAACAATCAGTCAATATTATGCTGAAAGAATAAAATCCAAGCTAGAAAAATTGTGAATTGCTGCCCAGAGGAGGAGGAGAAAAAGGAGGAGGAGTAAACAATCAGTCAATCTTATTATGTGGAAAGAATAAAATCTAAGCCAAAAATTGTGAATTGCTGCCCAGAGCATGAGGAGGAGGAGGAAGAGGAGGAGGAGGAGGAGGAAAGAATCTGTCAATCTTATTATGTTGAAAGAATAAAATCCAAGCTGGAAAAACTGTGAATTGCTGCCCATAGAAGGAGGAGGAGAAGGAAAGGAGGAGGAAACATTCAGTCAATCTTATCATGTTGAAATAATTATATCCAAGCTAGAAATATGGTGAATTGCTGGCTAGAGGAGGAGGAGGAGGAGGAGGAGGAGGAGGAGGAGGAGGAGGAGGAAACAATCAGTGAATCTTACTATGTTTAAAGCATAAATGCAAGATAGAAAAATTGTGAATTGCTTCGAGGAGGAGGAGGAGGAGGAGGAAGCATTCAGTCAATGTTATTCTGTTTAAAGAATAAATTCAGGCTACAAAAATTGTGAATTGCTAGAAAGAGGAGGAGGAGGAGGAGGAAACAATTAGTCAATCTTTGAGAAGAAACAGCACGTCTTCTGGGGGCTCCTGGCCAGCAAGAGGGTCCCAACCAGGATAGGGGGTGTACAGAAGATAAAAGATGACAAATAGAAGGGGTCTGAAGGGTTGAGAAGCTATGCTTCACCAACAACTTTATTGTGCTCAGGGTCTGCTTATAGATGTTACAAGAAGAGTTACTTACATAAAACACAAAAGTTATTTCCATGAGAAAAAGGGGAACAAAAAGTTTTACCATAAAATCACAATTCTCCTTACATCAGATAAATATAATGGAATACTTAAGTCACAAGGTAAGTAAGTTACACCCAGTTGTCAATACTTAACAATTGTCAATAGTTAAGTCACAAGGTAAGTAAGTTACGCCCAGTTGTCAATACTTAACAATTGTCAATACTTAAGGCACAAGGTAAGTAAGTTACGTCAAGTAAATATTTAACAATTGTAAATACTTAAGTCACAAGGTAAGTAAGTTACACCCAGTAAATACTTAACAATTGTAAATACTTCACTTAAGTCACAAGGTAAGTTACTTATGCCCAGTTGTAAATACTTAAATATAAAATCCAAGCTAGAGAAATTGTAAATTGCTGCCCGGAGGAGGAGGAGAATTAGGAGGAGGAAGAGGAGGAGGAGGAGGAGGAAACAATCAGTCAATCTATTATATTAAAAGACTAAAATGGAAGCCAGAAAAATTGTGAATTACTACCCGGAGAAGGAAGAGGAAACAATCAGTCAATTTTATTATGTTGAAAGAATAAAATCCAAGCTAGAAAAATTGTGAATTGCTGCCCATTGGAGGAGGAGGAGAAAGAGGAGGAGGAGGAGGGGGAGGAGGAGGAGGGGGAGGAGGAGGAGGAGGAGGAGGACACAATCCGTCAATTTTATTATGTTGAAAGAATCAAATCCAAGCTAGAAAAATGACAATTGAAGCCTAGAGGAGGAGGAGGAGGAGGAGGAGGAGGAGGAGGAGGAGGAGGAGGAGGATACAATCACTCAATCTTATTATGTTGATAGAATAAAATTCAAGCTAGAAAAATTGTGAATTTCTGCCCGTAGGAGCAGAAGGAGAAGGAGGAGGAGGAGGAGGAAAAAAATCAGTCAATCTTATGTTAAAAAATAAAATCCAAGCTAGAGAAATTGTGAATTCCTGCCCCGAGGAGGAGGAGGAGGAGGAGGAGGAGGAGGAGGAGGAGGAGGAGGAGGAAGCAGTCAATCTTATTATGTTGAAAGAATAAAATCCAAGCTAGAAAAATTGTGAATTGCTGCTCAGAGGTGGAGGAGGAGGAGGAGGTGGAGGAGGAGGAGGAGGTGGAGGAGGAGGAGAAGGAAACAATCAGTCAATCTTACTATGTTGAAAAATTAAATTTAAGCTAGAAAATTGTGAACTGCTGCCAGGAGGAGAAAGAGGTGGAGGAGGAGGAGGAGGAGGAAACAATCATTCAATATTATGCTGCAAGAATAAAATCCAAGTTAGAAAAAGTGTGAATTGCTTCCCAGCGGAGGAGGTGGAGGAGGTAAAAAGCAATCAGTCAGTATTATTACGTTGAAAGAATAAAATCCAAGCTAGAAAAATTGTGTATTGCTACCCTAAGGAGGAGGAGGAAGAGGAGGAGGAGGAGGAGGAGGAGGATGAGGACGAGGAGGAGGAGGAGGTGGAAACTATAGTCAGTCTTATTATGTTGAAAGATTAAAATCCAAGCTATAAAAATTGTGAATTGCTGCTCGGCGGGGGGGGGGGGGGAGGAGGAGGAGGAGGAGGAGGAAACAACCAATCTTAATATGTTGAAAGCATAAAATCCAAGCTAGAAAAATTGTGACTTGCTGCCCAGTGGAGGAGGAGGAGGAGGAGGAGGAGGAGGAGGAGGAGGAGGAGGAGGAAGAGGAGGAGGAGGAGAAGGAGGAGGTGGCGGAGGAGGAGGTTACAATCAGTCGATCTTATTATGTTGAAAGATTAAAATTTAAGCTAGAAAAATTTTGAATTGCATCCTGTGGGAGGAGGAGGAGGAGGAGGAAGAGGAAACAATCGGTCAATCTTACTATGTTTAAAGAATAAAATCCAATCTAGAAAAATTGTGAATTGCTGCCCTGCCACCCAAATTTGTTGTTTTAGATGAATGCAAGTACTGGCTGGTAAACAAAACACCAACCGAACAGAAAAACAGCAGCAGAGCTTCGAAGCCAGCATCTAAGACCATAAATTCTAGAAACTTGGTTGTGGTCATTTGCTTGTGAAACTAAACGTGGACCAGTAGGTTTCCAGTGGGCAACTAGAGCAATGCATTCTCCATAAATATTGTCTTCTAACCTCTACAATGGCCACCTCGTATGTGAACATGGAAGATAACAGATGTGGAATATTCTGTTCGTCTCCCCAAGAAAATACCTCTTAACAAGAACTCTTTACCTATGTAGCAGAATTTCATGTTTGTTCTGTATTAGTAACTATTTCTTTCTCATTTTCTATTTTTCCTAATGTGGACTTTTTGTTATGGTTACTCTTATTCCATTTCTTCTCTAGCATTCAGTGCTGGTGTGTTATAGGCAAATAATTTGTATTTTAATTTAGTTGAAAGGTAATTAAGAGTTACACCCAAATCTGATGGACAGAATTGCATGTGACTTTAAATTAAATTCAGTAACAGATGCAACAATGGTCCCATCTTTTTTGGGAAAGGAATGAAGCACTTCATACAAAGTTTAAGTAAGGAAAGAGGATTGTTAGGATATTGTATTAGTCAGGAACTCGTCAGGAGACAAAAACCACACCAGTAATTTGAGCTGAGAAAATTTAATATGAAGCTTTATTAACTAATACAAATGGAATAAATTTTAAAATGAATAAAAGGGAAGTCTAGAGAATACAGATATAGTCAATACTAAGAGAAGTTACCACCATTAAGCCTATGGGAGAGTACCCAAGGAACAGAAAAGTTTGGAAGAGCCTCTCTCCACCCATCAGTAATGCAATTCAGACTTCAATGGAGAGGACTGGCTGCAGTCTGCTGGATTGTGGGGTTCTCCAAGATGTCATGGGCGAGAGCTGTTTTGCAGCTAGTGGTCTGACCCTAATGAGCAAAAAACTGCCCATGGTGGTGCTGACAGTCTGGAATTGATAAGCAAGGACCTACCTGTTGGAGTATTAGCAAAACTCACTAGCCATTAGGCACTACTGATTCTCCTTCATAGAGCTGATAGCCAAGCCATTGAAGAAAGAAAGCAGACAATTGGAACTGAGGGAGGGAAGGGGTAACACTTTTCTTTGTCATGTGTTGACATATCCCTCCAGAACCCTTTATTTCAGACTAATGTTGTACAGCTAGTAAAGTTAAAATGTTTTAAGTCCAAGTCCAGTTTCAGCAAGTATAGCAAAGAATAAATTATTTGAAACTGAGTGGTAAAAAATTGGTAACTGACACAAATATTGACTCTACAATGAGGTGAACTATGGAAAATTTCATAGATTTGATCACTCAATGTTCATTCCAACACTGCAACTTAGCTCATGTTATTATTGGTTTTCTAAACATCTTTCATCTAAAAGTGGCAATATGAAGTCATTTTGAGCAATGAGATCTGCTAGTTTTTCTTCTATTTTTTTTCTTTTTTCTGAAACATGCACGATATGATGAGCTGCAACAGTCATCTTACCAGTGATAACTAAAGGCTAATGCTGCACACAGTGGTGCATGCCTGTAGTCCTAGCTACTCAGGAGGCTGAGGTGGGAGGATCATTTGAGTCCAGCCTGGCCAATACTGCAAGGCCTTGTCTTTAAATAAATAAATAAACAAATATTTTTCTAAAGAAAGAAAAGAAAAGGCTAAGACTTTTGCACATAATTTATAAAAAACATACAGCATTATAATTTGTATAAGAGATAATTCTAAAGAATACAGAAATAGTAAATACTGGGAGAAGTTACCACCTGTAGGACTAAGGAAGAGAATCCACAAAAGGAAATGTATGGAAGATCCTCTCCCCACACATTCATGATAAGATTCCGACTTCAGTGAAGAGGATATGGCTGCAACCTGATGGATTGTGGAGTTCTCTGAGATATTTTGGGTCAGAATTATTGACAGTCACTGAATCTGTATAAGTGTATGTGTATATTACTAGAAAGACATATATATCTAGATTCAAAAAATTCATCTAAATAAACATATACTACAGATTGTGAGTTTAGTCATGACATATTTACAGATAAGGCATCACACTCAGAAGTACCATTAACTATAACAACTTTTTATTCGTTTAACTTTAATATCCTTGGTGTATTCTTCAGCCCCATTCCCTCCTGCTAGCATTGGAATGGAAGTGGGAACAACTAGGTATCAGTTTACTTTGGCTTAGTATAGTAAAATAATTTATTAAATAAGTTTATCTTTTTCATAATTTCTTGAGTTCTCCATGATCCTCTCTCAGATGACCTGTAAGTGTAGAGGAGGCTTATGCTACCTGCTTAAGCCCTAAGGCTTAAAAGGGAATCTTTATTTCTATGTAGGAAACAGTGACTGGTGTCTGCTGCTATGTGATTGATCATTCTTGTCCCTAAGAGTTCTGCTGGCATTTGTTACTAAGACTTGCATTTGATGTAAGTACTCTCAACTTAATTTGGGTCTGGTGGCCTTCCTTAACTCACTAGGTCCTGTGTCACCTCTTTTCTGCCTCTGGTCAGCATGGGGAGACCTTGTCTCTACTAAAAATACAAAAATTAGCTGGGCGTGGTGGCACATGCCTGTAATCCTAGCTACTCGAGAGACTGGGGCAGAATTGCCTGAACCCAAGAGGTGGAGGTTGCAGTGAGCTGAGATTGCACCACTGCACTCTAACCTGAGCAACAGAGTAAGACTGTCTCAAAAATAAAATAAAAATAAAATAAAACACATTGTCTAATTTTTCGTAAGAAAAATGTTAATTTGTACTTCTACCAACACTGCACACAAATTCCTGTTTCTTTATACCTTTGTTAATAACATCTAATCTAATAAAGAACAATTCTAATTTTTAATTGAAGTTTTGAATTTTAGTAATTTGAATATCTTCAGCAGCCATTTGTATTCTGTAATGACTTTTCTGTTTATATTTGTTCTGTTTGCCTAATTAGTTTACTTTTTTTCCTGTGGACTTGTAAAAAGTCCTATGTTTTAAGGAAACAAATTCTTTTATCATCTGTGTTGCAATTATCTTTCCCTGTTTGCATTTTACTTGCAAATATGTTTGTGGAGATTGTGAAACATGTTGGCCTTTCAATTCTCTATGCAGTTATATTTACCAATAATTTCTTCTTTGTTTGATTTTAAGAATAGTCATCCATATTTTCTTTTGATATGTTAGAGTTACTTTTGTCACACTGAATATTGAATTCCTCTGAAATCTATTTAATATAAGGAGTAAATTTGAAATTTGGCTTAAAAATTTTTAATGACCAAGTTATTACAATAGCATTTATTAAATTATTACTTCATTTCTGACAGTATGTGCCATCTTATCACATACTAAGTCCCCACATGTTTTCAAGTATATTTCTTGTCAGTCTGTGCTGTGTGATTCTTCTCTTTCTTTGTAATCCTATGTAGTATCACATGGCTGAAATAGCTACCACTTTTTCTTTCCCAAAAAAGATTGTAACTTGTTTTTACAATTCTCTACCCAACTAAATTTTGAATGATTTTGACGTTTCAAAAATAACGAATTGTGTCTTTATTTTACTTACTTACTTACTTAATTAATCAATAATTAATTTTTGGAGACAAGAGTCTTGCTCTGTTGCTCATGCTGGAGAACAGTGGCAAGATAGGTCATTGCAACCTCCGCTTCCCGGGCTCAAGGGATTTTGTTGCCCCAGCCTCCTAAATAGCTGGCATCACAGGCATGCACAACCACACCTGGATAATTTTTGTATTTTTAGTAGAAACAGCATTTCACCATGTTGGCCAGGTTGGTCTCAAACTCCTGACCTCCAATGATAGGGCCATCTCAGCCTCCCAAAGTGCTAGGAGTATAGGCATGAGCCACCACACCCAGACCCCAATTATGTTTTTAAATAGATTTAAATTAAACTTGTAGTGTAGGAAAAAGTTATATTTTTATAATTTTAGTCTTCATGTAAAGGAATGTCTCCTTATTTATGTGAGGATTTAAAAAATGTTCCTCAATAAATTTTTGTGATTGTCAATATAAACTTTATTTTTATTTGTTAATTTTGTTTGTGAAAATCTTGTATTTTTCCATTTTATTTGTTAATGATGTATTTTCTTTCATTTTCCAAGTGATTATTGTAATATATTTTGTTTGAGTAATGTTATACCTAACCAAAATAATATATTTTGTTGAAGTAATGTTATACCTTACCAAAATCTCTAATTGTCTAAAAATTCTTGTACTCTGTTGAAAGCTTAAGCTAGAAAACTGGATATTGATGGCTTATTTTCTTGTTCAGTCATTCAACTATCTGATGAGGGATTAAAAAATAAACTGGAGAAATAGGCAGCTGTGCTCCTGTCACAATCCTCCCAAGTCCTGTTTGACCACCTGTCACTGTGGATATTGATTTCATGAAGTGGGATTAGGATGAAGTTCTACTGCTCATAAACTGGCTTTTGTTTCATCAGTTGACTATTCAACAGCTCTCAGGCTACTTTTCCTCATTCTCTCCAGCCCAATTTGCCATCAGTTGTCAACCCAATCAGAAGTTCCTATCAACAGAAAGGGAAATTGCCTGGCTGCAAATTCTCTCTTCAGTCCTGCATCCCTGTTATCCCCAAGTCTTTATAAATCCTCTTGGCTGGGGTTCTTACTAGAATCCCATTAAATTTGTTCAGTATTCCACTTGCCTATGTACTACTCTGATTTTGTGATTAAGGAAGATACAGTGTACTTGGGCTTTAAATTAAATTGAATCTGGCAGATATTCATTCATTCAGTTTCCATTTATTCTCGTGAGTTTATGATGGGGGTCGTGACTGTTCCCTTGTTTTCATGGAGGGTTTTCCCATATTTTGTTTTTTTTCCTTCATTTGGACTTCTTTTAGAAAAGGATTATAGGCAAAAGAACAAATATTTATTGTCTTTCTTAGAAATTTACACATTATTACTACAATAAGCACTCAATAAATATTGGCTATGATTATTATGGTTTCCTTAAATGGCGTATCATCTTTGCTTTTTTTTTTGGTCTTACTCTTTATTTTGAGCACTTATGATACACCAAGCGTGGTGCTAAGCACTTTGTTATCTCATTCAGTTTTCACAACAAATTTGTAAAATAGACGTTGCCTGTTTCTTCACTGGTGTACAAATATTAGCATAGCTGTTTGATAAAGAATGAATAGTTATCTCAATGTAAGGTTAATCATAAAATAAAAACAAAGAACTATTTCATAATTAATTTGCTTAAAGTTAAGTGAAACTCAGAGCCAATATTAAGATTAATTTGTTTTGTGTTTTCTTTGATAAAATTCATTCATTTGCTTTTTGAAAGATATTTTAAAGCTATTCCACAGGAGGATTTTTATTAAACAAATGATTTTAAAGAATGGCATATTTTCAGTTTTTGATATCTGAAAGATATTTGAACCACAAATAAAAGCTGTTTTGTAGGTTCATTCAATAAGTAGGTAAACTGTCAGGTAGCTTCCATAAGTGAGCTGCCATGTTATTTCATTTATTTTTATTATTCAACCTCAAATTAACTTTGCAGTTTCACAATTTATCTATTGTGAATCTGAACAGCTAAGTAGGACAGAAGAAAAGGTGCTGTTCCATTAAGCTCTAACATATCATTGGCTGTCAGGTAAGCCTTGTTATGCTGTCCATCCTCATTTAACTATCCCACAAGATCTCTTAATGAAGTTAAGCCCCAAGTTCACTCCAATAATTCTGTGGCAAGAGTTTGTGCATTGTAACAATTTATCACTTGTCAGGAAGGCACTTTTAGTTTATGCATTTAATAAGGGCATCCTCTAGCTTGGTTAATTAGAAGTGAACAGTTTGCATATTTACTAAATGTGGAGTGTCATTGCAACCATGGCCTACTGCCTACATGAATTATTTCTCTATCTGCAATAAACAGCTGGGTAATTATTACTGCCATAATCAGATAAATTCCCTCTGTAAGGCTTTTCTTACATGGCAATTCTTTGAACTCATCCAAAGCTGAACAAAATTTATGAACTCTAGCGGTGAGGCCACTTTTTCATAGAGTGGTGTCCCTGTTCCCTATTTCAAGGACATGAGTAGAGCACCATAGATATTGTGTAAATAAGGAGAATAAATATGATTACCTCAAGATAACATTTCAGTAAACCTCATTCTAAAAACATACTATTATGATCTCAGCCAAGTAAATGATGGCAGTTTGGCTTTATCTAATTGTAAGTTGATGATAGGTTCTTTTGTAATAAGTTCTTTTAAAGAGGTAAAGAAAACAACATTTAGTTTTCAAGAAACAAATTAGTTTGTAATGTTAACTATACATGAAACTTTTTTCTGTAGACTTGTTTTATCAAGATATAATAATTATAGTTACTAATTTGGTAGAAATTGCATAATAACATAAGCCAGGGTATCCAACATAAAATATAGAATATATTCTCTGCTTTAAAAACAGTCTGCTATTTATTCATAATTACTAATTAATAACACAATCCATATAATCATTTTGAAATATGGAATGTTATTAACCATTTGATTACAGTCTTTTCACATACTGTATTTTAACAAAAATGTACTACTTTTTACAATTTGGTATTTCAAAATATTTAAAAGCAAGGTATATAGAAAGGAAAAAGCACTTTAGTCCAAAGAAGGAATTAACAAAAGGAAAAAGCTTACTATATGGGTTTTTCAATTTAACTCTTTCCACAATGAATTTCAAGCAGTTTACAAAGGACAAAGGGACCACAGTAAAGGAAAATACAGATATGATAATGCTGATAGTATGATTGATCAGGGAAAATGATTAGTTAAGTATGTCATTAAGAAAAATGGAGAAACCCTACTGCATATGCCAATAAACTGTTTTTTCTAGCACTTAACCTAAAAGAAATTTTACGTGATTCTTTAGTAGGAGACGCTAAGTAATGTAATGAACAATTTCTTCAGTAAGATTTGTGTGTGTGAGAGAGAGAGAGATAGAATTTTACTCTGTTGCCAAGGCTACAGTGCAGTGGTGCGATCTTGGCTCACTGCAACTTCTGCCTCCCATGTTCAAGCAGTTCTCCTGCCTCAGCCTCCCGAGTAGCTCAGCTTACAGGCATGTACCATCACACCCAACTTATTTTTGTATTTTTAGTACAGACAGGGTTTCACCATGTTGGCCAGGCTGATCTCGAACTCCTGACCTCAAGTGATCCACCTGCCTCTGCCTCCCAAAGTGCTGGGATTACAGTTGTGAGCTACCATGCCCAGTCAAGGGGTTTTTTTGTGTTTGTTTTTGTGTTTTCAAATACAAAAAAAGCAGTCTGAATTTCAAATCCTTCTTTTTTGTAGTGATTTTTAGAGAAAAAAAATCCTGGAGAGTGTATTAAAACGTTACTCATTTGAAAGTAAAAAACTAAAATAATATTAGCCCATGGACTTAGCCTTATGGTTGTCTAGCTTTGAGGAATGGGTGGACTTGAAAGTTCTTATCTCTCACTTCCCTTACCTGATTTTTTGATAGAAGATAAAAGAAAGTTTCTTTTTTTAAAAACTCTGTGATAATGATTGAGAATGCTATTTTTCATATTGCTGATTTTGAGTAGACCTATCTCAGATGCAGATGCTTGATATATTAATAATATGTAAACATTTTAGTCACATTTGAAGATATGTTTATATTATGATGAAATTTTATTGGGAAAATGTTATTAGTGCTAAAAAAATCATATATGTAATACTGTCCTGAGGACGATTTGGCCTTCATCTTATTTTATCTCTTTGAAGCATAAAGGTACCATAAACCACCTTCATCTCCGATTTTATAACTTAACTCTCTGATACCACTTTCTCTTTGTTTCCTTTCTCCTTTTCCAATGGTTTCTTCTTCACATTCCTCGTGTACTCTATTTGACCTTAAATATGAGTGTAGTATTCCCTCCTTGATGTATTTACCTTTTCATTCTACATGCTATGGATGGTCACTTTCACTTCTGTGACTTCTGCTAGCACTTGTGTGATTCACAACTCCAAGATTTCTTCCACCTGGAACTCTTCTCGGCTGTTTTAACCATGTATTCAAATGCCTGCTACCATTGCCACTTGTACATCCCACAGACATCTCGAGCTAAGCGTGTTTAGATTGAATTATTTCCCCAAACCTCTTCTGCTTTCTGTGGTTAATTGAACCATTCTTCATCTAGGTAACCAAGCCAGAAACATGAGATTTTCATTCTAAAAATTTATTTCTTTTTTCTATTGATGACCGAGCCCTATCAATTCTTTTCCTAGCTCTGCTCATCAGTCTACTCTCCCTACTGCTGCCTTAATGATCTTTCTGAAATATAAATCTGATCACCATAATCTGTTCTCTTTCTTTTAAGTGTTCCTTAATAGAAGATGACCAAGAGATCCTAGAAACATGTGAAATATAAACACTGGAATTATATTTTAGAATATATTCTTAGCGTAGGAATTAAGCAAACCCAAAATAAACACTTGATCATATTCTTTAACAGTTTTATTACTAAAAAACATGAATCTTTGGAAAAGAATGTTAACATGTATCTTCGTTATAATGTTAGCATAGAATGGGAATTCACAGAACATATGTATACCTAATTAAACTGAAATTTTATGATATATAGGAAATTATGTAGTGGTAACCTACTAAAAAATCAGCAAATTGATAAAGAATCATTTATTTTTAATTACTTTTTTATTAATGCTTTATAATTCATAATGCTTTACAGCTTTTTCCATTTCCTTTCCCTTTAAATCTATTCTTTTCCCCTCGTAGTTGGCAATAAGTAGAATGGAGAAAGAAAATTACTCCAGTTTTTTTCTATCTCTCTGTTCCATTACCACTGTTTTGTAATAGTTTCTTATCCAACAATAAACGGGATGGTATTCTCTGTGGCATTCATTTAAAAATATTTCTAAGATCAGCTATAAAAGAATTGGTCAGTAAATAGTTTCCCAAAACTCATTAGATATTTTCTGAAACTGCATGTAGCATACTACTTTAAATTATGTTGACATCATCCTATAGTATGTTATTATGGCTTTATGCTCGAGATTAGTTTAGAGATGTCCCTTATCTGTGTTGAATGGATTGCATGCAAAAGCAGCAGCAATTATTTTTGCTTTAAAGTGAGGTTAACACATTTTAAAGGAGAGACAATGTGTGATGTTTGAGTAAACAAAATGAATAAGATCATGAAACTTTTTTTATATGAAATGGGAACTTTAGCTACCTCAATTCTGAACTCTACCAAAAACATAAATTTAGTAAGTTGAACCTCTTCCTCCACAGCTGAACCACTGTGAAGATGGGCAATGGAGAGAATGTGATGTGCCTTCATCTCTATGGAGGAAAGCCCCCATGCTGTGTCTCAGAGTCACAATCTGTAAAGTCATTTTATTTCACAAAGACAAACAGAGACCTTGTTAATGATATCTGCCCCTTACCAACCTTAGTGGAATGTTGTGAGGCTGAATTAATGCCTGAAAGTGTTTGGATCGCCTGAAAACAATGTACTATATAAATACATTTTATTGTTTTTACTATTATTGTACTTAGCTCAATGTCATTCTCAATTATATGACATCATACATATTAAATAAAATTTTACCTCCCTTTAGAGTAGCTCTTCTAGATGATAAAAAGGAAAATACTCTAAAAATATGTGCATATTTTTATAAAGAATACTATATAAAAAATATTTTCAACCAAGTTGATTCAAAAAAGCCAGAATAAGAAAAAAAAAAGATTTTCATGAATGATCTTTGAATGAGGTCTTATTGCTTTTTAAAATCATGCAAAGTAGGTAAAGGAAATAATAGAGCAATTGGGCAATCCCTGTGTATGATCAGACTAAAGTCATGGTATTGTAATTTTATAACATCGACCATTATGATCTTTTTTATTTTTTTCATTCTCAAAATATCTCCTCTATACAGAATAGATTTGCTAGCATTACTCTTAGAGAGCTCATTTATGTGGCCAGGAAAACTTTCTTCTCAAAAGTGCATTTCTGTCTTTTGCTGTTATTGGTCAAAGCCTACCAAAGAGAGCAAGAGTTTCTAGTGAATGATCCAGCCTTATTTCAGCACTACTCTCTATCCTTGCTCTCTCTATTTAGTGAAAACTTGCTCATTGTTGAATTCCCAACTCCAATACCATCACCTCCATGAAACCTTGTGTGTTCTCTCTAATCAGAAGTGACCTCTCTGAACTCAAGTACTCCATATGTATTTCTTTCACAGACTGATTTTCTACAGTCTGACAAATTATCAGCTATTTTGTTTGCAACCTACTTGAAGGCAAGTACTATGCTTTAAACATCTTTATTTCTCTAAATACCTAAAACATATTTGTGAGCACCAGCCTGAATAAACAAATGAGTGTTAATTCTCTACATAATATTAACTCTTAAAACAGCTTAGATATTTTTTAAGAGAAACTCTTCTATACTGCAGCAAAAGATTTTGTAACTAAACTTTATCCTTTCTTTTCTTTTATGAGAGGACCTTTCTAAATGTTTCTAAAATGTTAAAAGTTTCAAGTGTGTGTTTCAGATTAAGGTGTGAAACTCAGGCCAGACCTGAGTGCTTGAATTAATGACTATGTACTACAGACTATTTTATTTTAAACATAATTTCCCTCTGTGAAGGGCTGCCCTAATGTAATTTGCAACACCTGTCAAACAGACCAGGCAATATAGGTAACCAGTAGCAAAATAAGATAGATAAAATAATTGGGGTAAGTTGTTCAATAGAGTTAAATTTTGTTTCTAATAGGAATATTTTAGGTATTTTAATAACTTCCAAATAATCTATTCCAAGGTTTTATTACTTACAAAATATGTTGAGAATTCAAACACAGAATCCTAGCATATAATTACCTTATTTTCTGGTTAGTATTTTTACTTGTATTTTAGACTTAGTCTTGTTTTTTTCTTTTATTGCTTACTTATTTTGTTATATTAATGTGGACATATTCAGAGCAGATAATTGTTAGAGATGAAATATAAATACATTCAATACATTTAACTAAAATACTTTTATTTCAAATATACCACAGCAGAAACTAATGCCATTCAACTATTTTCTTAATTGTTTTGAGATGGGGCATTGCTATATTGTTCAGGCTTATCTTGAACTCCTGGACACAAATGAAGCTCCTGCCTCAGCCTCCTGAATAGCTGGTATTACAGGTATGTGCCACCACACCCATGACTATTTTTATTTTGAAGGAATCTTACAACAGAAGCACGCGCTGACTTTACTTGCCATGAAAACAGAATGAAACAATAGAGTTGTTTAAATCCATTTCCTTGGAATTTTGTTTTTTCTTAAAGATGGTGCAGATGATGGCGTTTTGTTTTTAGTTGACAAAACTATGCAGTATTATTTATTAGCAGTTGC